ACAGATTTTGTTTTTTTTGGGCCATCTTAGAGTTCACGTCTGCATTTGTATATGATTGATGGTTGCTTGTTTTACCCCATCTAACTGTTGCAGCGTAACCCCTTAGAACTGACTTAGAATTTCAGTTGTTATTTTAAGAAATTCAATGTTATTTTTTAGAGATGAGCGAATCGAAGTAGGCGAAGTGGAATTCGTTTCGAATATTAAGAAAATTTCGATTCGCGTCGAATCCGAAAATAAGCAGACTTCGGATGCGCGAATCGAAATTTTTCCTAAAATGGCGGCGACATGTGCGGCGACGGAGCGGGGATGTCTGGGAAGGCGCGCAGACAAGGCGCACTGACCCATAATGCATTCATTCATGACATGTGATCGCATTAGCCAATCAGCAGCCAGCCAGCCAGCACAGTGTAATGGTCGAGTTATAAATGGCGGCCATTTTAGAATTCTCCATTTGCCTCCAGTCATTCAACAGAGGCAGACCTGGCTGTATGCAGGGAGAGAGTTAGGGACAGAGAAACGTTAGTTAGGGCCACAGAATCGTTACTTAGGGCCATAGAAACGTTACATAGGGCCACAGAAACGTTTACTTAGGGCCACAGAATCGTTAGTTAGGGACACAGAAACGTTACTTAGGGACACAGAATTGTTACTCAGGGACAGACAGAATTGTTACTGAGGGATACAGAATTGTTACTGAGGGCCACAGAATCGTTACTTAGGGCCACAGAAACGTTACTTAGGGCCACAGAAACGTTACTTAGGGCCACAGAATTGTTACTCAGGGACAGACAGAATTGTTACTGAGGGATACAGAATTGTTACTGAGGGCCACAGAATCGTTACTTAGGGCCACAGAATTGTTACTTAGGGACAGACACAGAATTGTTACTGAGGGACACAGATTTGTTACTGAGGGCCACAGAATCGTTACTTAGGGCCACAGAATCGTTACTTAGGGCCACAGAATCGTTACTTAGGGACAGACACAGAATCGTTAGTGAGGGACACAGATTTGTTACTGAGGGCCACAGAATCGTTACTTAGGGCCACAGAAACGTTACTTAGGGCCACAGAATTGTTACTTAGGGACAGACACAGAATTGTTACTGAGGGACACAGAAACGTTACTTAGGGCCACAGAATCGTTACTTAGGGCCACAGAATTGTTACTTAGGGACAGACACAGAATTGTTAGTGAGGGACACAGATTTGTTACTGAGGGCCACAGAATCGTTACTTAGGGCCACAGAAACGTTACTTAGGGACACAGAAACGTTACTCAGGGACACAGAATTGTTACTCAGGGACACAGAATCGTTTAATTAAAGAGTAGTATGTCAGACAACATGCAGAGGAGTGGCAGAGGAGGCAATGTTTTAGGAGCGAGCAGACGTGGCAGCAGAGGAAGGGGTCGAGGCAGCACTATTCGCAGCCAGAGGCCAGTGCTCCCGGTGTCATCCTGCGGTCGTGTCTCCACCGACAACCCTGCCGTCATTGATTGGTTGGCTCGGTCGTCTTCCTCTTCCCAGGTCACCTCTGACACCTACAGCCAACGGTCGGTGGGTACGTCAGACACAACCGTTAGTTGGCATGGCCCGGGACCAAGCCCACTGAAATCACGTGTCCTCTACCTGCCCCTGTCCTTTGGTGTTCCCTCACCAAGCGAAGTATCGCATGCTGTGGGCTCAGCCCCACTGTACAGTGAGGAAGAGCAAACAGAGGGCGGTCAGGAACGGGGGGAGACATCCGCCTCTTCAGCAGCCAGGCGAAGAAGTAGTGGCGAGGAGAGTGGCTCGGTAGCCGGTCTAGAGACAGGTCTGTCTCCTGACCCACACGCAGCCGAGGGGGCTAGTAGTGAGGCGGAGACCCTAATTGATGATGAGGAGGCTGATCGCACTTGGCAGCCTCGTCGTCATCAGGCTATTGCTTCCGCATCATCAGGAGAAGAGGGTGGCAGCTTGGCAGCGAGCGAAACAGTCGGTGGGTTGCCCAGGAGGCAGCAGGGTCGCAGCAGTGTCAGTGGAGGCAAACGGCCACGGAGTACAGCACCAGCTCCACTGCAGCCTACCACCACGGCCAGTAGTGGTGCCGGTGTGCACGGAGGAAGCAGCAGTCAGCCAGGAGGAGTATCGGGGGCAAAGTTTCCTACTCGGCGGTGTGTGGCAATTTTTTGTCAAGCCGCCCGAGGAAGTAAACGTAGCCGTATGTCGACTATGTGGCCAGAAAGTCAAGCGTGGCCAGGGGGCCCATGTTGGGACTACAGCGTTGCGGCAGCATATGCAGCGTCGCCTTTTGGTGGCCCGGGAAAACCGTGATAAAGATACGGCGGTTCTGCCCGCCCCAGCCCCCGCTCCATCACCCGCTCCGTTACTTGCTCCGTCACCTGACGTCAATCGCCCTCTATCAGCCAGTCAAGGCTCCAACACCTCTGCTGAGGGGAGTTGTCGCTCGTTGCCATCTTCCGCTCGTTCAGATGCTCCTTCTCCTGCTACTCCTGTTCACGGATTCCGTCAGCAGTCTTTCTTGGAATCCGTTTCCAAGAGACAACAGTTTGCGAGCACGCACCCGACGGTGCAAAAGCTGAACGTCCTCCTGTCCAAGTTGCTGGTGCTGCAGTCCCTCCCTTTCCAAGTGGTGGACTCAGCACCTTTCCGAGAAATGATGGCTTGTGCCGCGCCGCGGTGGAGAGTGCCAAGCAGTCATTTCTTCGCCAAAAAGGCAGTGCCAGCCCTGCATTCACATGTAGAAGAGATGGTGGGCCAGTCTTAAGCATGTCGGTCTCTGCCAAAGTGCACGGCAGCGTCGACGTGTGGAGCTGTAACTATGGTCAGGGACAGTACATGTCATTTACGGCCCACTGGGTGAACGTGGTGCCGTCACAGCCGCACCAGCAACTTGGACAGGTCACGCCGCTTTTGCCTCCACGTTTGCACGTCCTTGGTCCACAAAACATGTCCGCCTCTACCACCTCTTCTTCCTTCGTGTCCTCAGCCGCCACCCCCGTGCCAAGTCCCATTACCCGACCGGCATATCACATGTGCAGGGCGCAACGGTGTCACGCTGTGCTGCACCTGGTATGCCTTGGCGAACGTAGTCACACAGGGGAGGAACTTCTCAGTGTAATGAACAGAGAAATCGACAGATGGCTGTCTCCGCGCAAACTGAAAATCGGAACCATGTTGACCGACAACGGAAAGAACATGGTGTCTGCTCTGCGTCAAGGAAGGCTGTGCCATGCGCCATGCATGGCTCACGTGTTCAATCTGGTTGTCAAGCTGGTTCCTAAAATCCACCATCCCACTGCAAGACATCCTTAAAATGTCACGTAAAACTTTGCATGCATTTCAGCCATTCCTACACCGCAAAGCACACCCTCCTTGAGCTGCAGCGGCAGAACGGAATTCCACAGCATCGCCTGATCTGCGACGTTGCAACAAGGTGGAATTCAACCCTACACATGTTAGACCGCCTTTACGAACAGCGAAAGGCCATCACCGATTTCCTGATGTTACAAGCGGATAAAGGTACTCCCCTGTGTAACTTTGATGTCAGCCATTGGCAGCTCATGCGTGACACCTGCCGCTTGCTCAGGCCCTTTGAGGAGGCCACGCTATTCGTGAGTCGGCAGGACTATGGGATGAACGACGTCATTCCTCTGTTGCACGTCCTGGAACAAATGCTGTTAACAATGGCTGGTCAGGGTGCGGTAGACGTGGCGCACAGATCTCAACGCCACATGACCCCTGTGGGGGCAGGACAGGAAGAAGAGGAGGAGGTAGAGGAGGACATTTGTGCTCAGGAATTATTGAGTGAAATGGGTGGTTTTTCCACTCAGCGGACAGGAGTGGAGGAGCAGGAGCATGTGGTAGAGGAGGAGGAGGAGGAGACAGAGGACCCAGACGCACCGTGGCAGTATGCTGTGGAGATGGAGGCAGGGAGTCCCTCGCATCCTTGGCACAAATGGCCCATAGCATGCTCGGTTGCTTGCGTAGCGACAGCCGAATAATAACCATCAGACAGAGGGATGACTTTTGGCTGTCCACCTTGTTGGACCCTCGCTACCGTTCAAAAATGGTGACCTTTTTCACACCTGCTGAGAGGGAGGCCAAAATAACGTACTATAAAAACCACCTATGTAGTCAGTTGGTCTCTGCCTTGTGCGCCAACGTCCATCCTCAGACACTGTGGGCCCTGTGCGCTCGCGTTCCGCTGCCATGGCAGCAGGGGGAGGGGTGGGGTGGTAGGAGCAGTGGTAGCTCCACCAGCAGCGGCTGCCTCAGTCTGCAGTCGATGATGAGTAGCTTTCTTCACCAGCGCAGTGAGGAAACTACTAACCAGCCGCAGCAGCAGCAGCATCAGGTGGACCTGGAGCAGGACCTCAAAACAACAGGCTTGGGCCTACTTGGACAGCACCTGCCAACCGAGGTAGACAATCCCCTTGACTACTGGGCAACGAAACTTGACCTTTGGCCCAACTAGCTGAATTTGCCCTTGAAAGGCTGTCATGCCCGGCCAGTAGCGTGGCATCGGAGCACGTGTTTAGTGCGGCAGGAGGTATTGTAACTCCGCGGAGGACACGACTGTCCACCCAAAGTGTGGAGAGACTCACGTTTGTGAAAATGAATCAGGCGTGGATTAGCCTGGATTTCAAACCACCAGTTCCTGACACAACTGATTAAATCCGCCATGAATCATGCCCCTGCCATGTGCCACTTTCAGGTCTCCTCACACTGCTGGTGTGTTCCATTTTTTGTCATAGGGTGCTGGCAGATTACGGGCCTCCTATAGCTGCTGCCAGGCCCCTAATCTGCCATGGGCCCCTGTACCGCCTCCTCATGCTGCTGCCAGGTTCACAGTGTCTCATGCCATGTGCCACTTTCAGGTCTCCTCACACTGCTGGTGTGTTCAATTTTTTTGACATAGGGTGCTGGCAGATTACGGGCCTCCTATAGCTGCTGCCAGGCCCCTAATCTGCCATGGGCCCCTATACCGCCTCCTCATGCTGCTGCCAGGTCCAGAGTCTCTCATGGGTCCCTGTACGGCCTCCCATTGCTGCTGTCTCCATCGCCACACTCTGCCATGTGCCACTTTCAGGTCTCCTCACACTGCTGGTGGGTTCCATTTTTTGTCATAGGGTGCTGGCAGATTACGGGCCTCCCATAGCTGCTCCCAGGTCCCCTAATCTGCCATGGGGCCCCCGTACCGACTCCTCATGCTGCTGCCAGGCCCGTAATCTGTCATGGGCCCCTGTTGTCGCTTGTTGGCATATTCCGCTCGTTCAGATGCTCCTTCTCCTGCTACTCCTCTTCACGGATTCCGTCAGCAGTCTTTCTTGGAATCCGTTTCCAAGAGACAACAGTTTGCGAGCACGCACCCCGACGGTGCAGAAGCTGAACGTCCTCCTGTCCAAGTTGCTGCTGCCAGGCTCGTAATCTGTCATGCACCCCTGTACCGCCTCCCCATGCTGCTGCCAGGTCCAGAGTGTGTCATGGGTCCCTGTACGGCCTCCCATTGCTGCTGCCAGGCCCGTAATCTGCCATGGGCCCCCGTACCAACTCCTCATGCTGCTGCCAGGCCCGTAATCTGTCATGGGCCCCTGTACCGCCTCCTCATGCTGCTGCCAGGTCCAGAGTGTGTCATGGGTCCCTGTACGGCCTCCCATTGCTGCTGTCTCCATCGCCACACTCTGCCATGTGCCACTTTCAGGTCTCCTCACACTGCTGGTGGTTTCCATTTTTGTCATAGGGTGCTGTGGCCTCCCATTGCTGCTGCCTCCACCGCCACACTGTGGCTCCACACTCTGGTTTTGGCCCCGTGACTGCCCAAATGAGTGAAGTGTGCGGTGATTCTAAGATCGACGGCACTCATCTGCATGTCATACTGACTGTCAGTATTATTTATCTTCCCCAGCAGACTCCAAGGGCATTTAAATTAAAGGTACAGTGTTCTGCACTAATATAAAGTCTCTCTGAAGCCTAGAAACACCCTTTTATAAGTTAAATTCGCAGCGAATATATTCGACTCTAATCGAAATTTTTTCCACGAATTCGCCGAATCAGTCGAATTGAATTTTTGAATACTTCGCTCATCTCTAGTTATATTTGTTTACTGTTCCTGGAATGCTCCTGAGCTTTTCGGTATCACATTTTTGTTGTCTAAAACAGCAGTTTTAAGGTGGACCCATGCTGAAAATTAGGACAGAGTATTTTAAAATGCACCATAAGAAAACATTTATAAAACAGCAAAATTAGTTTGTTTTTGCTATATGTCTATTTTCATAAAAGTGTTTATTCTTTTTATTAAAAACTGCCTCTGTATTTAATTAGCTCCTGTCATCTGCTACCCTACATATGTAAGACAGTTGAGTGATTATTGAAACTGATATACTGAATACCATGTTCTGTACTGCGAGCTCTAGAAAGTGAAAATTCAAAACAAACAATATACTTTCTGTAACATGTAATTTGATTAAAAAGTTCAGTTTTTTACAATTTTGTATACAGAAGTAGCAGCTGTTGAATTCATTCTCCTTGAAGTACCTGCTCTTTTGAGTTGCTTCTTAACAATTTTAGCAGTCCAAGGAAAAGGGTGTTTGGAATATCTGCAGAAGAGAAGCAGGTAAGAGTCTGCAACAGATTTTGCTAAGATTGTTCCAATATATGTATACACAGAAAAGTGGGGAGTTAAGCAAAGATGGGAAATGTAGCTCAGATTCAGGAATGATAGTGAAAGGAAACTGAGAAGCGGATTGTGCTAGTGGCTGCAGTATAATACATAATTCCAGAGCTTTATGTAGAAATTTAAAGTGGTTGTAAACCTCAGATATGAAAAATGAACAAAGCAAAATGCACTATAGTGTCTACTAGCCTGAATTCAATATACTGAGTCTGGTTCCTCTCTGATATCTCCTCTCTCTGACATCTGCATGACACACTCCCCATAGATTAATGTGGTTCTAAATGCTCAAGGTTTTTTTCTTTTTTTTCTATGCATGAAGGTAAAAAACCTTCTGTGTGCAGTGGCCCCCCCAGCCCCCCCAATTCTTACCTGAGTTCCCTGCAATCCAGCGATGTTCTCGACAGCCTCTGTTGTCTGGGGACTCTTCCTCCTCATTAGTTGAGACAAGTCAATCACAGCCAGTGAGCCAATGAGGAGAGAGCTGGGGACAGGCTGAGCCGCGGCTGTGTGTGTCTTATGGGGGCACTGCTCGATGAGGAGGAGCCAGGAGCACCAGCGGGCACCCGAAAAGAAAAGGATCGGGGCTGCTCTGTGCAAAAATCACTGCACAGAACAGGTAAGTATAGACATGTTTTGTTATTTTAAAAAAAAAGAAGCTTTAGTGTCACTAAGCCACAACAACAATACAGCCTCCCGGGAGACAGCCTACTCTCCCAGCACACAGCAGGTGACTCATACCCTCAGCTTTATTTCTTTTCTCTGAGCCCGTGCAGAGAGGGGATGTGCCACTTTCCTTCAATCAGCTCTCATATTGCACTCCACTCTGTGCTCTAGCTCTGCAGTGTGTGTGATGTCAGATCCCCTCCCCCTGCTTTCTGCTGCTGAGAAAAATCCTTTTATTTGTGTGTTCTAGAAGGCTGTACAGGACAGATGGCTGCAGATTAACAGGTACAACAGATGTAGGATGATTTGTTTCAGCTTTGTATGTCACCTGAAGCCAGCCACTTCACTGGGTATATGTAAGGGTTTACAACCACTTTAAGGCAGATGGGAATACTTAAAGTGTTTTAAAGGCTCCAGTTTTTTTAAAAAGTGAAACACCTTCTGTGAGCAGCAGCCCCTCGCCCCCCTAGTACTTACATCAGCTCTCCATGGACACCCCTTCTTCAATAGCTGAGAAAGCAGTGGAAGCTATTTGCTCCCGCTGCTGTTAATCACAGTCAGTGAGCCAATGAGGGTAGAGAGGGGGCAGGGCAAGCCATGGCTCTTTGTGTAAATGGACAGGCAGAGCAGTGACGCAGGAGCAAACCTGCTTGGGTGACCCCATAGTAAGTTGCTTGTTCTGGGGGCACTCAATAGGAGGGAGGGGCCTGGGTTGCTGGCAGGGGACCCAAAAATAGGAGAATCTAGGCTTCTCTTTGCAAAACCATTGCACAGAGCAGGTAAGTATAACTTGTTTGTTATTTTAAAAGAAAAATAATGGCTTTATTGTTTAACTAGTTACACAACTTAATTGTACCATAGTTTTAGTTAGCTGTATTACACAGAGAAGTGTGTAGTCTGATGAAGCCATTTTAGCGGAAAAAACTTTCACGATTAATAGACTTTAAATGTTCTCTATCAGTACAGACAGCCCAAAAACATTTGACTGTGAGTGTTTCACTTTCACCGTGTCTATTATTGCATCCATTGTATGAATGTGACTGGCCAAGTAAATTGACAAGAACACAATAACAGTTCAACTCCCCCTTGACCTAAGAGGTGTACATCACACTGTCAGCATATAAACAAATGCATGATGGGTTGTGTTTTAACAGATCTACTAGATACCATGCTAAAATGAATCACACAGTTTACTGTAGTGATGGCTAAGTAGAGTTCTGCACAATACTGACAAATTTTGCTTCATGTGCAGATAAGATGGAATGGAAGTAATCTTTAGAGATATTATATTTTTATTTTTTTATCTTATAGAGATTATGAAGAACCTACAAAAAAATTCTTGGATGGTCACCTAATTGTTTTTAACTTTTAAAGAGCTTAAACATCTTGGAACTATAATTTCAGATTTTATGTCGAAACTTAATTGAGCAAGCTGACGTTAGAAGCTGATTGGCTACTATACAGAGCTGCACCAGATTCTGAGTGCTCCAGTTTTAGTAAATCTTCCCCTATGCATGTGTCAACATAAAGATGGATAAAGGTCCAAAAATCTTAGGCAGTCTTAAAGTAGAAGAAAAGCCTAACTCTAACTATTCTTAAAAATGTTCCCTACCCCCTCCTACCTGCATACCCTTTATAACAAAGATTCGTGTATTTACTTTTCCATTTTATTCAGCTCATGTGATTCTGCAGATCTGACTCCAGTGTTTCAGTGAGCGGCAATGGAGAAAGAGTGGCAACATCAGCTGGGCCATGGGAGCCTATGGATGGCATCATGAATTCCAAGCTGCTGTTGATCGCTCTCTTCCACAGAGCTGCAGGATCACTGGACTGGATTAAAAGTAGGTAAGTACAAGAATTATATTCCTGGGACATCACCCTAACAGCTATATAATGCATGGACAACGCTCAGAGGCCCTTGCGGCATCTCTATCAGCTTGGTTGGCTGCCACTGGGGAGCCCTGGGTGTGAGCATGAGAGTGGATGCTCACCTGTCCTACCCCCCAGCCATTTCCCTTCCTCTTTATTTATTTATTTATTTTTCTTCTGGCACCGTTCCATTTTTCCACTGACTCTTTCCCCCAGTTCACCACCATATCCCCTAACCCTCTCTATTGTGTTTATAATAAAAGCTTAGGGGAAGTTACTGGAACAACTACTGTTGAATAGTCTTTTCTCTGAAGGAGATTGACATGATGTTGAATGCCATATGATAGCTGTTGTGATGAATACTTAATTAGCTATAATTTGCCCAAATACTAATTTAATTGCTACGGAATGCTTTTGAACTTCAATTATAACTATTATACGCTTTAAGCTTTTTGTTTGTATGTGTTGAACTTCTCCTGGAACTAAATAAAACATGTTTAAAAAAAAAAAAAGGTAAGTACACAGATTTTTTTTTTACACAAGTTAGGATAGGTAGGAGGAGGAAAAATGTTTTTCAATTGTTATAGTTAGGATTTTCTCCTACTTTTAATTCAAACAGAGTCTTAATTATATGACCTTTTTTCTGTTTACTCACAGGCACATGTATCTCTTTTGTAATAATAACCAGACAATGGAGGGGTATGTCACAATCAAACATCCTAGGGGGAATTTACTAAAACTGAAGCTGACAGAATCTGAAGCAGATGTGCATGGTAGCCAATCGGCTTTTACCTTCAGCTTGCTCAGTCCAGCTTTGAAAATAAAAGCTAGACGCTGATTGGTTGCAATACACAACAGCTCCAGAGTCTGTCTGCTTCAGCCTGAATAAATTCCCTTTTCTGCCCTTAAAAGTGCTGTAATGAGGGCCAGTGATCACCGTTGCATGCCAAAACTATACACGGATTGGGGTTCAAACAATCTAAACCTCACATCAGCATATTGGATGTATACATGCCAAACAACCCATATTGAAAAAAAATAATATTTGAAATATATTTAAAAATATTCCTCCATATTACATGTTTTTTTACAAAATATATGAAAAAATATTTTTACAAATATATTTTTTTTAAATATATTCTGATTTTTTTAACATATAAAATAGTCATTTTAACATATATTGTACATATATTTGTAAATGCATTCCAAAAATGTAGATTTGTATTTTTAAAGACATACAGTATATTTGAAAATGTATTTTTAAAAATATTTTTCATATACTTTGTAATAACAACACATTTCACATACAGTATATATATATATATATATATATATATATATATATATATATATATATATATATATATATATATATATATATATATATATCCATCCATTCAGTCGTATCCGACCCTTGGTGGTTGCATGGACCGACACTCGTAAGTGACTTTTTCCATAAATTCTCTTAGCAATTATTTTACAGGGTAGGTTTCCAGGTCTTTCCCCAACCCCTACCATGCAGAAGATCCCACATGGCCAGGGATGAAACTAGGAAAATTTAGACAGGAGCCAATTAACCTACCAGCATGTCTTTGGAGTGTGGGAGGAAACTGGAGTACCCAGAAGGAAACCCACGCGAATACAGGGAGAACATGCAAACTCCATGCAGGAAG